TTCTGGGTTACGTCGCGCGGCGCGGACCTCAATTTGGCTGTCGCCCTGGAGCCCGGCCAAGACCCTCTTAGACGCGCTGCCGCGACGATTGCCAGATTCGCTAGGGATTTCTGGTGTTCGCCGGGCGCCAATCATCGCACGGCCGATCGTCTAAGCATGGGGGGGCGATCCAGAGTGCAGGACGCGGACCAGACCTACTCGCAACGTCGGCCGACTGGCTCTTGGGATTCGCGCTCTCGGGGGCCCGTGGGCGACATGCTTCTCTGGATGGAAGAGGCTTCCTAGGCGGTCCATGGGCCAGGCTTCTTCAGGGGGAAGAATGGTGCCCCGTGCATTCTGACGAGCACTCCCTATGGTTCAGTTTCCAGATATTTCGCCAAGGACTTAGGCGCGCAGTTCGCGGCCAGCAGCATGGCCAAGCACCTGGGAGACAGGCGGCACCAGCGAGCCCAAGAGATCCTGGACCGAGATATTTGGGTCGACCCCCCCAGGGCCCGCTGGAATTCCAACGGGCGCGACAGGGGGGCCAAACGAGTTATCGACCAGGTGTTCACAAGATCTTGCGTCACAGCCAGCCAGTTGCACAAGCGGAGATACGAGGCGGAGCCGATCTGCCCGTTCTGCCGCCACCTTCCTAGCGGCAGTGCCCTAGATGGAGCGCGGCACCGAGCGTTGGAATTCGCTGGCCTGGAGTCGACACGAGCTGAACACATGGCGCGCGAATGGGCGGCGGCAGGCGCGGAGGCTGGACCCGCAGGCCTTTTGTTCAGCAACCCCTGGCCCCCCCGCGCCCCGGGCGACATCGCCGAGGCTTCCTGGGAGGGTAAAATCTGCGATGTCGGGCCCGAGGGCCCCATGTCGAATATCAACCCCAAGAATAGCAGGCATGTATTCCGATGGTTCCTGTTTCGCCCCCGAGCATGAACAGGTTGCGCGAGGAGGATGGGCAGTGGTGGCCGTGGGCGACGCGGGCGAATTTACTTGCGCCTTCTACGGCAACCTCCCAGGCTTCCTTCCCCAGTCAACAGCTTTCGCCGAGCGCTATGCCCTGCCCCCTGCTCTTCAGCATCTGGAGGGGGAGGGGGGGGGGGGGGGGGGGCAGTGCTGAGGGGGATATCGTGCACGTCGACTGCAAATCTCTGTTCAGCGGCTATGAGAACCCCAGGTCAGCTACATCTGGGGGCAGCCCGCTGGCAGAGATCTGGAGGGTACTCCACGCAGATGCATTCCCATGAATGGAGGCTCTCTAAGGTGAAGGCCCACGTTTTGTCCGACAGCCTCGTGGGCATTGAGCTCTGCCATAAACGCGGGAATGATTATGCCGATGAGTATGTATAAGGCGGGGCGAAGCAACTTGTTTACGTATTAAACAATATCTGCCTCTACGAGGTTAACCTGGCTGGATGAAGTGAGGTAGCACGTGGCACAGCTAATATTCCCGCAGGCCTGCCCAGGGCTAAAGAGCTGTTTGGGAATTTGGACCGCGCCGCGTCTGATATCATCGAACCGATGCCTGTTCCTCACAGTCGCTCTCATCGTGCTGTGTGGAATGTGTGCCGTTGGCGCTGCGCCTCATGCGCCAGGTGTTTTCGCAGGCATAATTCAGTCGGGAGGTGTGCGGCGCTCAGGCCTTCCCCCCGTGAGCTTACGGAGGTTGAGCTGGACAGGCCGCATGAGTTGTATGTAGCCAGGGCTTTGGAGTCTGATCTTCCATTTGTTTTGTACCTGGTGTGGGCCGTACACTTCGGGCCAGCCTAGGCGCCTGGCCCAGGACTGCGCCAATGTGTTCACTGCTCAGAGGAAGCAGCTTCTGTCGGGCAGGCTTCCATGGCCAAAGGCCCAACATGTCTCCAACCCGTGACCCCTTTCCGCCTCCCGAGCGAGGGAGGGGAATGGTGGGTCAAATTCTTTACGCTTCGCGTATCCCCACCAGCCCATCTCACAACAGCAACTCATGCGAAGCATGGCGACAGTCGTGTTTTTCAGGCGTGTGTCCGTTTGGCCCCGCATATCTCCCCTGTTCCTCCTTCCTCCCGCCTCCTTGTACATCCTCCTTGTGGGGGGAGCGGGAGAAGGACGAGGCGGAGGAGGAGGGAGAGAAAGCGCTCCTCGTGATTTGAGTCGTTTGGGGTTTCTCGTCCTGGTGTGAGTCGTTCGGGCCCTTCTTCCTGGTGTGAGTCGTTCGGGCTCTTCGTGGTGTGAGTCGTTCGGGCTCTTCGTCCTGGTGTGAGTCGTTCGGGCTTCTCGTGGTGTGAGTTGTTCGGGCCCCTCGTCCTGGTGTGAGTCGTTCGGGCCCCTCCTCCTGGTGTGACTCGTTCGGGCTCCTCGTGGTGTGAGTCGTTCGGGGCCCGCGTCGTGGTGTGAGTCGTTCGGGCTCCTCGTGGTGTGAGTCGTTCGGGCGCCTCGTCCTGGTGTGAGTCGTTCGGGCCCCTCCTTGTGGTGTGAGTCGTTCGGGCTCTTCGTGGTGTGAGTCGTTCGGGCCCCTCGTCCTGGTGTGAGTCCTTCGGGCTCCTCGTGGGGCCTCTTGGGGGCCTCTTGGAGCCTCTTGGGGCCTCTTGGGGGCCTCTTGGGGGCCTCTTGGGGGCCTCATGGGGGCCTCCTGGGGCCTCTGGGGGCCTCTTGGGTGCCTCTTGGGGGCCTCTTGGCGGCCTCTTGGGGCCTCTTGGGGGCCTCTTGGGGGCCTCTTGGAGGCATCTTGGGAGGCTCCTGGGGGCCTCCTGGTGCCATCTTGGGGCCTCTTGCGGCCTCCTCAGAAGCGCAAAGAAGCGCTGCCCCCTGAGAAGGACAAAATGAGCCCAAAACCTTCGTAAAATCAATGATTTTGCTATGAAGGAAGATGAGCGCGGCCCCCTCGGGAGGCCACAATGGGGCGAAAACCATCGTAAAAGCAATGATTTTGGCTTCACAGAAGAGGAGAGTGTTTTTTTTGCCCCCCCCGACGGGGCCAGAATCCTCGTGAGGGTCGTCGTTTTTTGGCCCTCCCAGGAGTCGAAGAAGACCCCTCCAACCACCCGCGGGACGCCCTCTCCCGGCCCAGGGGGAGGGGGTAGGGGGAGGGGTAAACCCCTCCCCGAAGGGGAAGAAGGGGGGTTGAGGACAGAGGGGGCCCTCTAAACCACTCACGCCCTAAAGGGCTGGTGGGATTAAAGCACCTGTGAATGGTTATTTCCCACGGGGCCTGGCTGGTTGGGGTGCCCCTCCTGTCCCTGCAAGGCGGGTCCTGGCCCTTGTGGCTCCGTCGTACAGGTGCTGGGGGGGGTTCTCTCAGCAGTGTGACCCCCCAGCAGCCCCTTCGATCGTGTGTTCGAAGAGTGAAGAACCACTGGAAAAGGAGGTGGAGGAGGAGGTGGGGGAGGAGGAGGAGGAGGAGGAGGAGGAGGAGGAGGAGGAGGTGGAGGAGGAGGAGTCGGGGATGGGGGAGGGGAGGGGGAGGGGGGGGGAGGAGGAGGAGGAGGAGGAGGAGGGAGGAGGAGGAGGAGGGAGGAGGAGGAGGAGGGGGGGAAGCGGGGGAAGCTGATCGCGCCTTGCCCCCATCGGATATAGGATCGTGGCAACGACCGCTCCGCAACGGGAGATCATAATCGGGGGAGGGGGGCGCCCCTCGCTCGACAGCCTTCTTTCCTCCTCCTCCTTCCTCCTCCTCCTCCTTCTCCTAATCCTCCTCCCTCTCTCCCTCCCTCCTTCCCTCTCTCCTCCTCTTCCTCCTCTTCTCTGCCACCTCCTCCTCCTCCTCCTCGTCCTCCTTATCATCCTTCCTCCCTCCCTCCCTCCTTCCCTCTCCCCTCCCTCCTCTTCCTCCCCCTCCTCTTCCTAATCCTCCCCTTCCCTCCTACACGTGCTTCTCGCCCCCCTGGCTCTTCGCCTCCAACCCTGTTCTTTATGGTTACCTCTCCCCTTTCGTGCCCCTGGACGTGGCGGTGGGGCGTGCCAGGCGTTCCGCTTGAGATGTCCTCACCATCTACGATCCTGAAGTTCGAAATTCGTCACGCTTGCAAGGACGGATCGCATATCGCTTTCAATATGGGGCCTCGCCTTGGGGCTGCGCACATTCGTTTGAAAAGTGTGCAACAGCTACCAGGATGGAGGGTGGGTGGTTTTCAAGCACAAGGTTACCACTTTAGCGAGGCGCGCATTCGTTTCATGATGTTGCAACATTTGCAAGGGTGGAACACGGGTCAACATTGGAGCACAGTTCAGTATCAACATGTGGCTCTCGCCCCAGCGCCGCGCGCATTCGTCTTAAAGGTTTGCAACCGCTAAACGGATGGATGGCGATTCCTGTTTAAAATGGGACTCTCGCCCTAACGCCGTGCACGTTCGTCATGAACGCTTGCAACCGTTATGAGGGTGGAGAACGGTTCATGTTCAAGCTCGAGCTCTCGATTGAGATGTTTTTTTTAGTTAGCAGACCAAAGCTCCAACGCATGTAGCAGCTGCACAGATGTAGGGCAGTTTCTTTTCAAAATGGGGTTATCGCTCGAGACCTCCCCGAAACTCATGACCAGAAGAGTAAGCTTGCGCAGCAGTTGCACCGATGGTGGTTGTCCTTTCTCAAACAAGGATATCGTTGGACACCTCGTTGACATGTATGGTCATTCCTTGTCGCACTCCTGATGATGTGCTAGAGGGATACAGGGAACTTCCTCCTCAAAAAGAGGTTTTCGCCTGAATGCCAGGTCCATCGGGTTTTGGTCTTTCAAGGGGGGCGCTACTTTGTAGTGGCAATGAAGGCTTGTAGGGACATCTGGGAAGGGAGCTCGCGACGCAAGGGTGTATTACAACATCGCTGATGCATGATAAGGTTCCTCTGGTGCTCCTCCTGCTCCTCCTCCCCCGTCCTTCTCCTCGCCTGCCCCCCCCTGCGAGGCGAACGCTGGCAAGGAGGAGTAGTGAGGTGCAAGCTGCTTCAGACTGTCCGCGGAAAAATATGATCAGGATGAATGAGGAGGAGGGACAGGGAAGGGGAGGAGAAGCAGGAAAGTGGGTGGTTAGAAGGCCACCTTGTATGTATCGTTGAGTTGGCCCAGAGTGCCCCATCGCGTGTGCAGTAATTTCCGTGCCCTTCCCAGACGCATGCAACAATGTAGCAGCTGGCAGCGCTCGCGGGCACCAATCGCTTAGCACAGCCGAAACAGATTATTGCCCCATCGCCGCAAGTTTCTGCCCCCAGGCGTTGTAATGACCCCACCCCGTGGACACGACGTCGGAGTACGCATGTATCCTAACTTGAATGTGCCGCTTACACACGGCACCCTTTCGCGATGATTTGCACCCCTTCCTTTCTGAACTGGAGATGGCAGTTGCGTCGCAGAAGACTGGTAGGCCGAGCTCCACAATTAGCCCTGAAGCGCCTCTGACTACTGAAGGGTTCGTCACTCACGTAGGAGCGAGCCTGCGCTCCACGCTCATGTCGGGGATCGTTGATCCGGCTTCTGCGAACACCCACCTCCGCTCCGCAATCATGCCCGCCTTTCGCGCATCGGCCCTGCCGCAGTGAGTCTCGATCCTCCGGTATCCACGCGGGCCCGTGCCTCGAAGCGGGACCCCAGGGCACAAGTGGCGCGTGGTGCCACGTCCTCGCGCCCGGCGCCTCCCGTCGGTACGGATCCCAGCGCCTGCGCCCGCCGGCGCTGCCGGTGAAAACGTGGTACGAAGCGCAGGCCACGTCGGCGCCGGTGCGCCGCGAGCCGCTGCCCGCTGGGGCCTCGGCGTGCTCCTCGGCGGCGCAGGCCTGGCTCGCCGAGGTGCTGCTGGGATGCGGGCTCGGCGCCAGCTGCGTGGACCCCCCGGAGTCCCAGAGCCATACGATCAACAGAATCACCGGCCGAGCCTGCCTGCATGCTTCGCCGCGCACTTGCGTGGGTGGTGCCCGACGCGCGCGTTCGGGGCCTGCGGCCTGATGCGCGCCGAGCACCAGGACCCCCAACGACGCAGCATGTCTGCCTGCCCTTGGCGCAAGCATGGCGCTGAAACTGGCCTCCCCCCCACCTGCCCGCGGGCCAGCCCCCTCCCCTCCCCGCCTCCTTCCTCCCCCCCGCTCACCCCTCCTTGCTCCTTCCTTCTCCCCCCTCCCTGCTCCTCCTCCTCCTCGGCCTTTGCCCCTCCTCCTCCTCACTCCTCCTTCCTCCTTTCTCTTTCCTCCTTCCCTTCCTCCCTTCCTCCTTTCCTCCTTCCTCCTTCCTCCTTCCTCCTTCCTCTTTCCTCCTTTCCTCCTTCCTCCTTCCTCCTTTCCTCCTTCCTCCTTCCTCCTTCCTCCTTTCTCTTTCCTCCTTCCTCCTTCCCTTTCCCTCCTCCCTTCCTTCTTTCCTCCTGGGGCGGGCACGCCGGCCCCGCCTGCAGCGGGGGCCATCGCTGCCCCCGCCGCAGCAGACGCCAGCGACCCTCGGCGGCATCCCCGGGCGCGCGCGAGGCCTGGGCGCCCGCGGGCCGCGGGCCGCTGCACGACGAGCACACGCGTGCGCGGCCGCGCGGGCCGGAGGCCAGGGCCTCGTGGAGGGAGGAGGGAGGAGGGAGGAGGAGGAGGAGGAGGAGGAGGAGGAGGAGGAGGAGGAGGAGGAGGAGGAGGAGGAGGAGGGGGAGGGGGAGGGGGGAGGAGGAGGAGAGAGGAGGAGGAGGAGGAGGGGAGGAGGAGGAGGAGGAGGAGGAGGGAGGAGGAGGAGGAGGAGGGGAGGAGGAGGAGGAGGGGAGGAGGAGGGGAGGGGGAGGAGGGAGGTGGGAGGGGGAGGGGGAGGGGGAGAGGGGAGGGGGAGGAGGAGGAGGGAGGAGGAGGAGGAGGAGGAGAGGAGGAGGAGGAGGAGGAGGAGGAGGAGGAGGAGGAGAGGAGGAGGGGAGGAGGAGGAGGAGGAGGAGGAGGAGGAGGAGGAGGAGGAGGAGGAGGAGGAGGGAGGAGGAGGAGGAGAGGAGGAGGAGGAGGAGGAGGGAGGAGGAGGAGGAGGAGGAGGAGGAGGAGGAGGAGGGGGAGGAGGAGGAGGAGGAGGAGGAGGAGGAGGAGGAGGAGGAGGAGGAGGAGGAGGAGGAGGAGGAGGAGGCGGGCGCAGATCGGGAGGCTCGCTCGCTCGGCCACCCAGGTGAAGGGCCACGCGCGGCGCGGCAGCGACGGGCGCCGGCGCCGCTCCGCCGGGCGCCCGCGGGCCTGGGTCGCGGCCCTGGGTCCCAGCCGGCCTGCCGGCTCGGCGGGTGCAGTGGGCGACGCGGGCCACAGGGGCGGCAGCGTTCCACCAGAGCACGCGCCAACTAGGGGACGGCATGCGAACCCTACCCCTGCCCTCCACGATTTCTGAGGGGGAGGGTGGGGTTCAGCGCGGCGCCCGAACCCCGCGGCCGCTTGCAGTGCCCCCGCGCCAGCGGCAGGCGGTGTGAGGCCCACCTGCGCCCACCCGGTCCGGCGGCCCCGCCAGGGGCATCTTGCCTGCTCCTCCCCTGGATCGCAACGTCAAGCGCATGCGTGCTGATGCACACACGCACACACTTTTGAGGCGGCGGCGCAGAGGAGCTTCAGGCGCGGTCGGCAGGTGGAGGCTGCCAATTGCGAGCGAACTTGGTCGAACAGCCCAGCCATGGCCATGCAGAAGGTGGTGAGCTGGTGAAAAAAGGAGAGGCGCTGTCGAGGAATTTAAGCTCGACGCGAGTAGTTTGAAGCGCAAGCAGCAGTCAGGTGCTAATTGAGGCCTCGAAGGGCCAACAACAGAAATAACTGCAATGCCAGACCAGCCAATGCGGGGCGGTGCATACACGCAAGGAGTCTGCGTGGAAAAGCACCGCCCTGTAAAGCTGCCAGACCAGCCGATTCGCGGGGTAGCGCCAGGAAAGCTATGGCCAGGCGAAACTAATGGGTAGAGAGCCAACATAAGAACCGGCGACGCAATATGCACTAGCACGAATGAGTGAAGTGCTATACCTACATGGCGCGGCAGCTCCACGCAGCGCAACCCCAACATGAAATAACGTCGCAGACAGCAGACACTGTGACGGTTGCAAGGGTTGATGTGGCTAGAGGGCGTCCGATCGGCTTTGCGATGTGACGGTTTTCACCCCTACTGCCAGGAGCGGCATATGGCTTTGTAGCAGTGCCAGCGATTGGGGAAGGCGCAGCCCCCACCCCCAGAGCTCATACATGCGGACCCTGCCTCGTCCTCCTCCTCCGCCTCGTCCGTCTTCTCTTCCGTCCCCGCCTCTTCTTCCACGCGGTGTGGTGCCTTCTCCTCTGCCCGTCTGCTGCTCCACTCCCTCTTCCCAGCCCGTGGAGCAGAATGCTAAGATCACGCCCCTCCTGTTGCGAGGTATCGATGCCACCAAATATTTGTACACGGCTTTATGAGCTTCTTCCAACAGTCTTGGTTGTTGGGTCCTCGTTTTGAGCCCGCAGCGCCCCGCCGCACCTCCTCACCTCCTTCCCTTCCTGATCCTCTTCCTCTTCCTCGTCATCAGCATCACAGTATCATCACCAGCATCATCATCATCATCATCATCATCATCATCATCATCATCATCATCATCATCATCATCATACCATCATCATCAGCCTCATCATAGTTATCACCACCATCACCATCATCATCAATCAAATTCCGGCCCAACCCTGACACGCTTCTGTGACCCCATAGGAAGCTCCACCAAGGTCCCCAGAGGCAGCGCTCGCATAGCGGCGCCGCCACGTCTCGTGGGTCCCATAATGGGGTCCACCGCAGGCCGCAATGGTTGCGCCCGCATGGCGGCGCCTCTTCCATTTCGGCATACCTCTCGCGAGTTTCGTCGCCATCCGCCTCGGAGCCGTCCTCGTCCACTTTGTGGTTGGCAGCTACATCCAGGGGAGCGCGGTACGGTGGCGCGGGGACATCGTCACAGGGCGAGGCAATAGGGCAAGTGTTGGGAATGCTGCCCGTCGGGATGTGGGGCGGAGGCGCACGGAAGAGAACGGTGGGCGGTCTGCGAAGGGGCAGGTGGGTCACACAGATCACCATCGGCCGTACCCGCAACGACGTCGGGGTGGGCAGGCGGAGCAGTCGGAGGGCTGTGCGGGAATGGTCGGGAGCGGCGGAGAGTTTTGTTGTTCGTCGTTTGGGGAGGGAAGCTCCAACATGTCAAACTACCATCATGAACATGTAGTCCCCGTGCCAACAAGAACCGACGATGGAGCGGATGGTTCTGCAGTCGTCGGGCTCCGTGGCGATGGTGCCGCAGTCGTCGGTCTCCGCGTTGCCACAGTCGTAGCCGGTGTTCTCGTGGTGAGACAAATCTACGATTGGAACCAGTGTTGGAGTGGTCGGAACTGGCGTTGCAATAATGAGACCTACAGTCGGAACACGTACTGCGTCAGATACGTTTGGTGTTGTAACGCATGTGCAAGATAGGTTGAGATGGCCTCGGCAAAATTTTTGAAGTGTCCACGTCAAAATTCCAAGCACGAGAACTACACGATATTTGACGATTTGCATTGTACCCCATGTGGGACCCATGCACGCCGTCAGAAACTATGATTTTACGATCTGATTCAGGAGTGTTGGCGTACATACCAATGTTGGTGTTGGAATTTCGTTCGAGAGTGCTGTCGTTGATATTGGCTTAGGCGCCGAACCTGCCTGCCGTCGGAGAGGTTGCCGACGTTGCAAACGAAGGCGCCAGTATTGGTTTCGGGTTTCTTGTCGACGTTGCTGGTTTCTCCCAGATCAGTACACAGCCGACAGTATTCCAAATCAGTATGCAATTCGCATTCCCGATTCGCCCGTAGGGTGTTGCGAGGAGAAACGAGGTCGAGTTTTGAAACATTCCCAGCCGCACGCAAGGCGCGGCGAAGAAAAACGCGTTCGAACACATTCTCCTTGCCGGGTTCTCCCGCAGGGTACCGCGAGGATGAACGAATGCGAACACGTGCTTGCAAATTGTCCTGGCCGCATTCGCTCAGGGCTCCAGGGCTCTGGGGCTCCACATCCCCACGTCCTACCTCCTCTCAGTCACTGCTCACTACTCGCATCACATCCTCTGCCCCATATTCGGGGCGCTCTGTCTCGCTTGCGCGTGCGTGCGAAAGCGACGCATCGTGCCGATGGCCTGACTGGCCCAGCTCCCTTGGGCAAGAATCGGCCAGGCAGCCGCCGTGGGGTGGGCTTGGGCATCATCAGCTTCCCCGCGGTCTTACGCTGCTGCAGCGGTCATGCCCACCAATTCCGAACAAGCCACCGTGCACGCGACCATTGTGTGCAGTGGATACCAGCCCGAATACCACCTATTCTCACGGCTGGGATTGGGGTCGTTGTTGATTGGAATATGCATCCTGGCGTTGCTGACCGCTCGGAGATTCTTGATATAATTGGGTTGTTCACGGAATGCGATGGGTCACCGTGTCCACCACATCTATCCTCATCTCCAGGGTTTCGTTCCACAGACCAGAGTACGAATAGACGCGCTCATGTCCGCACGGGCAGGCCGGGTTACGCTTCATGGCTGCCAGAACGAGCCTCGCGGGGTGCGTGCTGGCGGGCCGACCACGCCCAGGTCTCCCGCTTCGTGAGGGGGCTGCGTGATGTGGTATCCTAAGTATTGCGATGTGTTGCCCTTCACGTGGTATACACATGCAGTACAAAAAGGCAGTGTGCAAACATGGCGTGGCGCATTTCACTTTGGCGGTACGACGCGTGCCGTACCACACACGGCCGTGAACTGTATCGCGACATGCAGGGAAGGTAACTACTACAAACTACGCCGATAGTTGTCCGGGCACGACGCCTGTGGGAGGTAGGTTTTCAGTTCTCTTACTGGAGAGTGCTCTGGGTGCGACATCGGACGGCCGCAGGTTGCAGGATGAGGGGTGAAGATAACGAAACAATCTATTTAAAAATCTCTGCTCCAACTCTCACACTACCCCGTTTCGATTCCACGTGTCCGTCAGCTTCGTGCGCCGCTCGCGCTCCCCTTCGGCTCTTATCCTTCGCCCCCCTTCTCTCCTTAGCCGCTCCCTGCTCCAAGTGTCCGTCATTCGCTTGGCCCCGGAGGTGGCCATCGAGGCTTTGGTATCGGACCTCCCCTCTTCTCTTCCTCGCCCCCCCCCTCTGCGCGACTGTCCAGACCGTGGCGCCTCCCGCGAAGAATTCGAGAGAGAGTCCAGGACCCCCGCGAAAACTTCGCGAGAGTCCCGCGAAAGGTTCGCGTGAATCTTTGGTGCTGTGCACTATCCTCTGGGGCGCGCCCCGGGCCACCTCGCCCCCGTGGGACGCCCCTGGGCGATTCGCAGGCGAGACCATCCCGGGCCATTCGTGCAGGAATTGAGCAGCGGAGACCCCCCCCAGGCGATTCCACCGCTCGGACCGACCCCCCCCCCTGGGCGAGTCGGCCCGTCCCGGACCCCCCCGGGCGATCCAGGACCCCCCGCGCCCTCCCAGGCGAGCGGGGGCGCTTGCGGGAAAAAAACCCGCCCAAGTTTCCCCTTTTGAGGGAACTTTGGCGGGGGCGATCC